TCCTCCAGCGGGCTGGATACATCCCAAGAAAGTATGAATCTCCTAGATCAGAGAGTAGAGAAACCGCTGTTAAAATGCAGGGGGCAGAGGTCTTCCTAAGGCAGAGCCGGTCCAGTCGTGACATTTGTAATTGTGTTATACTGTGAACGAGTAGCGGCTGGCAGCTAAAAAAACTGAGAAGGTAAAGAGATCATTTAGCCCGGAGGGGGGAGGGGTTGTGGGTTAGTGAAATCTGAAGATAAAATTTCAAAATTATTCATTGGACCAACACAATGTCAGTATTTTGTCCTGATTCTTGATTCGTAAAGGTCTGGTGTGTCATATGTGTTTTAGCCAATAAGGGATTACACTGATTTCTCTGAGAAGACAGGCAANTCCTGATTCTTGATTCGTAAAGGTCTGGTGTGTCATATGTGTTTTAGCCAATAAGGGATTACACTGATTTCTCTGAGAAGACAGGCAAGGACCCTTCCATTCTGAGGAAGCTCAGCTTTTACCCCGTCTGACCCTCAGCACCACTTCAGACAAACTGGTTGTTCCATCTGGCCGCTAGGTGTCACTTTTTACAATATAGCAATTTATTTTACAGTATTACTGAGATAAAATGTTTTAAAACAAATTTTCCCTTCTCTTTTTGTATCTGAAGTCTGCTTCCATAATAAAAAGTGATGTTTTATGTCGAATGTTGTAACTGACTTTTAATTCTGTTCAAGCACATATGTTCATTGTTACGTGCAAATGCGATGTGGATCTGTTTTTGTGCCTTTGTCCCCCCTGCCCTCTTTTTTGCCAGATCAGTCAAGAACAAGATTGGTGCTCCTGGCCCTATCCACGTGAAATAAAGGACAACCCATCACTGGTGCTCCAGAGTTCACATGGAAGAAGACCTGACCAATCCTGGAGGGGCCTAGCTTTTAAAAAGCTGGCTGTGTCTATTTTGTCTGCGGGGGGAGAGATATGGTTGTGTTGTCTCTTTTGGTGAATTTGTGGTTTGCTTTTCTCCTCTTACATTATATAATCCTTCCTCCTCCCCCCCATTTGGGACACTGAAAAGGGTTAGAAGTGCACGCACGTGCACTAATACATAGGTTCCCTCTTCGTATATACACACTGGGTTAGAGGGCGACTGCCTCCCCCAGGGGCAGATAGGTAAGCCTAGTGTAGTCAGGGACTTTCTTTTCTATCTTTGGTTTTAGTGAGATCCATACCTAGACAGGATAGGGAAGATGTTTTGTTATTTTATTTCCTTTAGGGCCGTCCATGCTCTTTTCCCGAGGGTTGGGGCCATCCTCCTGTGTTCCCAGCATCTATTAATTACCACCATTGTATATTATATTAGTTTGTAATAAATCCACTGTCCTATCCCATATCCCAGGCTCTTGATTTATCCCAGCCAGCCCATCCTCAGCCAGTCTTGTCATCCCCCCCCCCCCCCAACCCATGTTCGCGTCACAAAAACAACCTGGCTGGACGAGAGCCAGGGACATAACATTCATAATGTTGCACTTCTGATTGTTAAATTGTTTTATTAGGCTCCTTCTTTTATGGAAGATGCTGCATAGCTCCTGCTCCTATACTGCTTACATTTATACCTGGGCATTCACTGGAAACTCAGCCTAGCTGCACTCACACATAATCGCCTCCTCGACATGTATGTATATGTAAATATGCTATTTGCCTCACTTGTACATCACTTTGAAAAAAAGTGTCTGCGAAATAACAATAATTCTAAATACTGTAAAGCATTGGGCGTATTCTGCAAAGACTCAAATCAGCTAGCTTAGCCCTGCGCTGCTCAGCGTAGCAGCATAAGTCTGCTCCTTCTGATTAGTCAGAGCTCATACTGCTGTATCTCAGCTCACACTGCCCTAACCTAGCTCGCATTGCTGTATTGCAGCTCACACTGCTCTAACCCAGCTCCTACTGCTGTACCTCAGCTCAGACTGCTCTAACCCAGCTCACACCACTGTAACCCAACTCACACTGCTGAATCTCAGCTCACACTGCCCTAACCTAGCTCATACTGCTGTAACCCAACTCTCACTGCTGAATCTCAGCTCACACTGCCCTAACCTAGCTCATACTGCTGTAACCCAACTCTCACTGCTGAATCTCAGCTCACAC